TTGCCACGGTTTATCATCTTGGTATCTGGTTTCTGTCCCCGGGGCCTTGGGTTCAAGGAATCCATCCTGCAAAGGCCCTTGTCATTGCCTTCACTTGCAACCTCAGGTGCAGGAGCGGTCCACGCATCCCCCTTCAGCCGTGGCTTGCGAGGACTGCAGCTGCAGAGACAAGAAGGTGGCGCCGCTTGCTCCTTGACAAGCTCCGGGGCCTCAGGTATCCGCCCTTGCTCTGGCTGCGCCCCGCCCTTTGCCGTTGTCATGGGAACGCCTTGGCGCTCCAAGGCCCGCCTTCGGGGTGTTGCGGACTATTGGCTCCGCCCTTTGCACGCTACTTCCGGTCGGGGAAAGACCGCTTCCGGTGCTTCCGTCGCTCCTTGCCGGTCATAATGGCCGCGCAGCGACCCCTGCGGGTCCTGTGCCTGGCGGGCTTCCGGCAGAGCGAGCGGGGCTTCCGCGAGAAGACCGGGGCGCTGAGGAAGGCGCTGCGGGCCCGCGCCGAGCTCGTGTGCCTCAGCGGCCCGCACCCGCTCCCCGACGCCCCGGGCCCCGAGGGCGCCAGATCAGACTTCGGTGAGACAAGCCCTGCTCCGGAAATACACTCAGTTTTCTCCCTCTTGTTTCGTCCCCTCGACACCCCTCAGCATCCCCCACCCTGCGTCCACCCTCATTCCTCCCACCCAGTCCACACCCTTCGTTTCTCGCGGCGCATACCCTCTTGCTCAAACTGCAGCCTGTCCTCCCAGGCTTCCGCCTTCGTCGTCTTCCTCCGCTGTCTCCTGTTCAGGCCAATCCATTCCCCGCCTCTCATTTCCCCCAGACTTTCGCCTCGATTCCCTCTTTTCCTGTCATCTGGAACCCTCCCGCCCTTTCTCATTTCTTTCCTTCCTGGAGCCTCCCATGCCCTAATGCCATCCTCTTTCCCCATACCGCTGTAGGGTCCTGTCCTCCAGAGGAGCAGCCTCGAGGCTGGTGGTTTTCAGAGCAGGAGGCGGACGTTTTCTCTGCATTGGAAGAGCCCGCCGTATGCAGGGGCCTGGAGGAATCCCTGGGGATGGTGGCGCAGGCACTCAGCAGGCTGGGGCCTTTTGACGGCCTTCTTGGTTTCAGCCAGGGGGCTGCGCTAGCAGCCTTTATATGTGCCCTGGGCCAGGCAGGCGATCCCCGCTTCCCCTTGCCACGGTTTATCATCTTGGTATCTGGTTTCTGTCCCCGGGGCCTTGGGTTCAAGGAATCCATCCTGCAAAGGCCCTTGTCATTGCCTTCACT